GTGCAGGTCCTTGTTCATGGTCTGTCCGGATCAACGTTTCTGCAACTACCGAAGACTAAAGCAATGGACCAGGCATATCTGCCTGACTTCGCCACGTGCACTTCCACTACGTCACTGTTGTCGCGTCACTGCTGGTTCGACGCCTCCCCTTCGCTGTTTTGGGACGCGCCACTCGTGCCGCCACTTATGTTCCACGTGACGTCGACGCACCAGTTAAAAAGACACCAGCTCCAGACCTACGCCTTTTGTGGGCACGGCAGACCATCGATGAACATGTGGCTCAAACCGTTTTGCTACCTCGTGCAGGCAGTAACTGCTATAGCACGATTAGGAGTGATTGTCGCGGTCTTTTGGTCTTGCCGTGCCCGCAACGCTGTGCTTCTATTGCTTATGATGTATACTGTGTATGTTTGTTGCTGTTGTGCGGTGACGTCGAGTCAAATCCCGGCCCCACTAACAGTGGTGGTGCTTCTGTCGAGTCCTATGTTGGGGGAGCTGCTGTCTGGCCAGAAAAAGTTGACAGCGGATGTAACTGCACTCAGAGAACAACAGAATAACGTTGACAAAGTTATAGCTGATTGGGGAGCCAGATTCGTCGATTTGGAAAGACGAGCCTCGCACGTGGATGACCTTGAACGTACTGTAAAATTGCTAGAGGCGAAGTTGACTGATCTCGAGTATAGGAGCAGGCGATCTAATTTAGTAGTCTTTGGGATCCCTGAGAATATGGGTGAAACTGAAGCTATTCTTAAAAATAAGGTTCTTGAAGAAGTTTTCTCCTAGAAGCTTTCAGTTAATTGTAAATCTGTCGGCTAAATTCATCGCCTCGGTAACGCGGGTAATGGAGGACCAGTCATCATTTACTTCCAGGATGTCACTGAAAAACAGCATATCTTAAAAAATGCTCATAAACTAAAGGGTACTCGAATATCAGTTCAGAACGATTATTCGCGCAATACGCTAAGGAAACGTAAACTGCTGTGGGATAGCGCTAGAACTGATATGGAGCAAGGCAAGAAAGTTAGCCTGCGTAACGATAAGCTGCGCATTAACAATGAACTTTTCACATGGGATGAAAGCAACAACTTGAGGGTCAAAATCGACGGTCGTCAAAACAGTACCAGAAATACTTGACTTTCCTTCGTAGTTTTAAACATTAATGCCCGCAGTGTCATTATTAAATCGGAAAGCCTCGAGGCTACTATTTTAAGTTACAACCCTCATGTAGTTGTCATAACGGAAACTTGGCTGCTTGATAATATATAAGATGCAGTTGTGTTTCCTCCGTCGTACAGGGCGTATCACCGTGACAGAAGTACTAGGGGGGCGGGGTGGCTGTTTTGTCAAAAAAACGCTATATCCGCTACCCCATTACGACAGGCTTATAACTTAAAAACCATTTCACTAAAGTTTTCTTGCTGGGATAAATCATTCTTACTTTTTGCCGCTTATCGAGCACCTGACTCTCTCCCCGAATTCTTTTGCGATCTTTTACACACATGGCGTCTTTCGCAAACGATAAGGTTGTTCTTATAGGTGATTTTAATCTGCCAGATGTCGATTGGGAAACGGATTTTTTTGCACCGCGAATAATTCACATTTACAATAGTTCCATGACATCATCCTATCTCACAATCTGGATCAGATAGTTAAACAGCCAACGCGCACCTGTGGTATGTCAGCATCCATACTGGACCTTGTGTTTATTAGTCGTTCATTAGAAAACTTTTCTATATCGGTTGATCCCGGAATTTCCGATCACAACCTGATATACTGTTCTTTTTCTTTGAAGGTACCTACCACCAGCAAATGTAAAACGATAATGGTTAAAGATTTCTCTCGTGCCAGAGATGAAAGTGTCTTGGATTATTTGGAACTATGCCTTGATAATTTTCAAAACAACAATACTGCTAGACTTTGGGTTGAGTTGAAACAAATTATTGCTTACTGGCTTAGCAACTTCATTCCAAACAAAACTTAAAAAAGCATCAAAAACTACTCCTTGGATAACGAGAAAAATCTTGCATCTCAAAAGGAAAGTAAAGCGCCTAAGGCGACGGCGGGCCTCTCGTGTGATTATTCACCAAATGCAAGATAAATTAAACCTTGAAGTACAGCTAGCTAAGCGCTGGTATTTCCAGCACCCGTTGCCAAACTTCATTTGCACGGCACCCCAAAAATTTTGGTCTTTTATAAGCAGGAAAACAAACTCAATTGACCAAATCGTTCACGAAGGCCTCGTCGTCATCGATAAGCAATGTATCGCAGAGTGCTTTAATCATTATTTTCAAAGTGTATTTTCTAGTTCCAATACCATTGCAAACCCTAATCGCTTGCCATGTGAATCGAACACTGATATTGTATCACAACCAGGTGTGGTATCAATGTTACTGAACCTTAAAATTAAATCATCTCCAGGACCAGACAACATACCGAATGCCTTTCTGCGCAGATATGCTAAAGCGTAGCCCCTTTTTGTAATCATTTTTCGTTCCTCATTATCGTCAGCTATTCTTCCTGCAGATTGGCTAATTGCGCGTGTCGTTCCCATTCCAAAAAGGGGTGACGCAGCACAAGCAACCAATTATCGACCCATTTCACTAACGTCCAGTGCTGCAAATCTTATGAACATAATATTGCGAAAGAAATAATAAAGTTTCTAAATGATAACAATATACTTTCTCCTCACCAGCATGGTTTTCGCAAAGGGTTATCGACTAACACTAATAACGACAATTATTCACTACTTTGCTAGTACACTTGACAAGCCGAGCCAAATCGACGTGATATTTCTGAACTTTAAGAAAGCATTTGACCTTGTTCCTCACAGTAAACTTATTGAAAAACTGCAGTCAATTAACCTTCCCGCATACATAGTTCACTGGGTAGCAGTTTATCTGTATAATCGCAAACAGTTTGTATCAATCGGTAATTACTCTTCTAAGTGAACGTTCAGTAACGTCTGGAGTACCCCAGGGTAGTGTTTTGGAACCTTTACTATTTCTAATATATATAAATGACATCAGTTAACGAAATTTTTTCCCCTATTCAAGTTAGACTATTCTCAGACGATTGTATAGTGTTTAACGAAGTTTGTTCTCTTAATGATCAATTAATGCTTAATTCTAACCTTCAAAACATCTTGTCGTGGTGCGGGCGATGGGGTATGGAATTGAACAAGGAAAAAACAGTCTACGAGTCTATAACAAAAAAAAATAGTATAAAGTCGTTTGCTTATAACCTAGGATATACACCGCTCACCAAAGTAAACCAATACAAGTATCTTGGAATCATGATCACTATATAGTGACCTAAGTTGGAATAACCACATTTCCAACATATGTAACTCCTCCTTCAAAAAACTGTGTATCCTCAGGCACAAACTAAAGCACACTCCTCAATTTACTAAAATGCTAGCCTATACTTCACTCATTCGCCCGAAACTAGAATATGCAAGCATCGTATGGGATCCCTACACAAAAACTAACATAAACGCTCTAGAGATGATTCAATTCAGAGCAGTTAGGTTCATTTTTTCTGAATATACAATAACTGACTCTCCCACTAGCCTAATGAAACAACATAATATCCAGACACTTCAGCTTCGATGGAAACTACACAGGCTAAAATTTCTCTACCAACTGAAAAACAACTTTTTCTCTCTGAACCCACACCCGTATGTGACATCACTTGCAGCACTTCGAACACGGAATCGTCACGAATTTTCTTTAACACCATATAAGACCAGAACTAACCTTTTCAAGTATTCTTTCTTTCTGCGTATTATAAATGATTGGAATAATCTGCATTTATCACAACTAATAAGCGCAGATTCCATTGAACATATATCTACTTGATGTTTCGCTATTGTCATGTTGATTAATCTTTCATTTCTTATTTTTAGTGTTCCTTTTTTGTATTTCAATTCTTTTTTCGTATTTCTTCAGTGTACATCTTACTTAGTTGTGACTTTTTCCTTTCAGTTTTTTTGTGATTGCAGTTCATGTATATATACATATATATATATATATATATATATATATATATAATATATATATATATATATATATATATATATATATATATATATATATATATATTCATGTATTTGCCCTCCTGCTTGGACCCAAATAGGGTCTGCAGTATTGTATAAATAAATAAATAAATAAAATATAAAAATCCGTGGCAGAAACGCTGAATATTGCCAAGCATAAAGTCATATCGATGGGAAAACAACCAAGCGGGTCAGAGGGCCACTTACTGCAAAGCGCTTGTAGATATACATGCATCATCATCATTACCAGTACGTTCACTATTGAGCAGCGTAGGCTGTTACAACACTTCAGCATGCGTAATGGGTAGTCGACTCGCAAAAAAATATTTGTACCGTAGTGGGCATTTTGCAACGACACTCATTGTAGGCATTATACGACAGCTGTAAAAAACTGTTTCTGCCATTGACGTTCTCTTCCTGGTGTCAACGCACAAGCGAAGCGAGGCTAAACATTTAGAAGACGTCTTGAAGCGGGCCCGATCTTGCTAACACCTTATACGCTCGAACACGAATCTCAAGCGTCGTTTAACAATTCTATGCATTGCATATGAGTTAAATGATGAAGTTCATCGAGTGATTTACAGACGGACACTCCTCCTGAAATTCGGGACCTCCGAGCAATGTGAATATTGTCAACATCTATTAAATAATTTCGTCAGGTTTGCTTACGTTACTGTGAGCGAATTGAAAATGCGTTGTCATCACACCAGTGGCTGATATAGGTATTTCCGCCAAAGGCAATGCTTTGAATGCCTCGTCGTTTGCACAGGCAGAGAATGAACTTTCAGGATTGCTGTTTTCTAGATTTGTTTTCTAGTTTTGTTACATATTTTTGAACTAGAGCAGGAAAACGTAGAAACGGTATTCACTAGAAATATTCATTCAAGCAGGGTAACTCAGTAAATCAAGCAAAAAAAACGAGGTGCAACGAGATGAAAAACTGAACTTCACTGAACAAGCAACGGCATTTTATTGTAGTGTCTGCCTTCTTCGTGGTGCGACAGCTTTATGGATTTGGCTTTGAAGGTCTTACACGAATGGATTTGACAAGCCAGGTGGACGCTTCATGGAGGTAGCTGGAATTTATAAAGCAACAGAACAATTTATATGTAGAGAGCACATACATAAACATCGAGTTGTCTATTCTGAATTTATCGAAACAATAATACTGACTAGAAAAAAAGGCCAAGATCAAACAAGCAGTAAATCTCTCGCAAAAATGATATATTTTCGTACAACAGTTCCAGTTACACAAAAGCCCTCAGTTTCCCAATAAGAGGTGTAGCATTTCATTACTGTATTCTCAGTCGCATTTATTTATTTCTGCATTCCTTCATCTAAAAACTGTAAAGGGTATATTGTGTTAAAGATGGGCGTTTAGTAGGAGGCGCACAAATTGACGCTACTTTTACATTACTTCTGCGTTAAGGCGAAAAGCTTGAGCAAGCATTTCAAAAGTTATGTGGGGCTTTCTTGTACCTTGTAACATGGAAAAAGTGTAAACGTAAAGTACTGCGTGCAATATGATGCACAAAATGAATGACACAAAAACGCACCGTATATATATATATATATATATATATATGAGATTTAACAAACAATAATGCCAAGGAAAGTAAATGGGAAGATATTAAACCAAATTGTATTGTAAATATGAAGAAAGAAAAGGGGGTGAAAAGATAACTTGCCATGGAGAGGATCCGAACCTGCGACCTTCCAATGACGCGTTCGATGCTCTTCGATGACATTCAAACGTCGCAGGTTTGGATCCTGCCCATTGCAAGTTATCTTTTCACGCACTTTTCTTCATATTTACAATACAGTTTGGTCTAATATCTGTCTTCATCTTCCTCTACCTTCCCTTAGCTGCCCACGCGCCGAAGCGCCAGCGTCTTTCTTCAAGTCAAGTCAAGTTTATTAGTCAAGTGGTCATGAGAATATATATATATATAGGTCCAAAAACCATCATATGGTGGTTTTCGGACGTTAAACCACACACATAAATCAACTAACTCATGACTTCAGTCAGCATGCGCGTACACTAACTACTGCTATACACCATGCTACCGAACCATTTGGAATGCAACAGGCTTGTGTAGGCACCAATGAGTCATTTGTACTTAGCGTGAACTTTCCTGCAATTACCCTAAAGAACGGGTGCTTTACTCCACAAGGAGGAAAGTGCGTCTCCTTGCGGTTCTGTGTTCACTCTTTTGCGCATGTTTGTCTTTTGGAGGAGCAAAGAGCTCTTTTCGTCATCATTGCGCAGTTACTCCAGAAAACTTTTTAGAGCGTGTGTGTGAACATATCTGTGAGGTCATCCTTCCTGAGAGAGCGAGAGAGAACTGAGCAGCGCTGTGCGTGTGTGCTTCTTTTCTGTTGGAGTTATGTTTTGAGCTGTAAAATGTAATTCAAGTTGAATAAAACTAACTAGCCTGACTCCTAATTAGGCCTTCATCGGGCGAGAAACCACGGTCTCACACCTTCTCCCTCATCTGGTGGGTCAAGCTTTGGGGTAAGCTTAGAAGCTGAGCATTCCACTGTACTCAAGTCCATTGCTTTATTCTTCGCCACTTTGCAAACTGCTGCCATTGCACCTACGTACCCTAAGCAATGCTGATCAGATTTATGAGAGACTAAAGCGAAAATGTTTTATTGGCGCTTCTAGTAATGCAGAACTATGGTATTTAAAAAGATACGTCACAAACTTCGGCTCATAGCAGCTTCGACAAAGTAGTGATGACGCTATTCGTTTTTGATGAAATAAAACAATTTTCCTGAAGCTGCAAATGTTCTAACCAGTCCAAAAATTCATTTCCATTTATAACAAAACAAGCACAACACGCTTTCGCGCCTTGCGCTGTAGCCCGCTTTGAAATGCTACAGTACAAGGCGTGAAAGAGTTGCCTAGACGGGTCCACACCGCAAGAAACAAGGACAATCGTTACAGCCGAAATTTAAAAAAGTTTCACTTTATTAAAAGATTCCTAATAACATTTTGATTTCTCCATAACAATATAGGTGATGGATTATTGTGAAGAAAAACTTCGCATTGTTTGTTGGTTACTACAGCGTGCAGCTGACAGTGACTCCTGCCAAAAGTGGGGGGCTCAGCCTCCAACTTTTCTCAATGGTCGGGGGAGGGGCATGCGCCCACCTTGCCATACCCCCTTGCTGATACGCCAACGGGCAGACAAGACAGCTTTCATCTGCAGGTGCCTTATTTGGTTGGTACTTTTGCAATATCCTTAGTTTTGTATTCCTTGTACTTGCTGGCACGATCGTTTGTGTATCGGTGCGAGTTCCTAGTAATGCTTTCTGGGTCACACATACTTGAGGCAAGCTGAACTTTGCACTTCCAGCAAAGTTCAGCTTGCTTGTTTGCACTGGCGTGCCTTGCGACCTTTTTGAGTGCACCGGAAGCACGTACCGTTTATCCTTCGATTGCACTTGATTCTACTGTGTTGGAAACATTCTGGTTGGACACGCTTTTTTAAGTGCTGCCTTAATGCGCAGGACACATAAGTCTCTGTGTCATCTTGGAAATCACCGAAGGAGTTCGTCAGAGCAGATGTGGTGGCTGGTGCTAAATTTGACTTCAGGCTTGCTGGTTCGCCGCATATTGAGCGCCACATTCACATCTACGGCTATCACTCTATCGCTCTTTTCTAGGCTCTTCACTTCGACCGAACAGACATTCAACAGACTATCTAGCACTCCATAGTCAACAGCTTTGCCTGTGGTAATATTTTCAGTTTGTGTCCACGTGTTCGGTGATAGAAACCGAAGAGGTCTTGTGGCAATGACTTCAGTATGATGCTGCCGACGATTGACGAAAATGACAACCTGTGCATACCAAGTCACTGGAGCAAAGGGATGTTAACAAGCTTGTGTTGATAAAGCTACTAGAGAGCTTTTTCGTCACCATATGATCAAACAGCTTGCAGGTTATGTAATATGCTGAATTATTCCTGATCTTGACACGTCTTGGCACCAAAGTACTTTTGTAGCCTGTATACAGCGTTCTTTTAACATTCCACAGTTGTTAGAAAGTTGGCCACAGCTGATGCAGCGTCTTCGTTCAAAACCTGTCGCGAATACTGTAATTTTCTCTGATAGTCAGAGTACCACTATTCTTGACAATTTGAACAAACGGCTCCAAGATCTCTATTCATTTACAAACATTCCCAGAAAAGAGCATGACCGTAAGCTTCGGTATATTGGCTCGCGTCCCGTCTGATGATGTAGTGATTGTATTTGCAACCATCGCCAAACCCTTTTCTGCTTGTGCGCTTGAAATGTGGTTGCCCCTGCTTCTGAGCACGGCCACGACTCGCGTCGTGTTGTCCTCGTTCTCCAGGATTTTGTAATATTCGGCTTGAAATCCTCGTCCGAGATGCAATTCTAAATTTTGGTTGATCTTCTTGAACTTGTCATTGTTTTTTTTCAGCCCCTCGTAGATCCAATGAAGCTTCTCCTGCATTACAGAGTCGTCGCGAAGAAGGGCACTTGCCTTAATGACGATCTGGCTGTTCAAAGATCATCGCGCAGTTCCACTTCACCTTGAGCTTCTCTGTGTGGTCCATGCAACTCATAGCCACTGGATAGCCTCTTACGGGTTGATCGGCACCAAACATTTGGGATACAGCGTAGAGCAGCTACACAAAATTTAATTTTGTAGAAATAGGCAAAAGAGGCTTTTATTTACACTAATGGTGGCCAATATTACCTTGCTACTCGTATAACATTCTCATTCCTTCCATCTTGCTTGCCAGCACCTCCACATATGATGGTTCGTCAACGTTCATGTTCGAATGAACAGTTCCAATAAGATACTCAATGAGAAGCGTTTAGAACTGATCCCTCGTATTCGGCTACAAAAGCTATACAAAACGATGATGTTCGCTAGTTCCTGTTTTCAAACTCGAGAAAATGTTGGCATTGGCTAGCCGGAGTGAAAGTGATGTATAATCAGAGTAACGTCAATATTAAGGAGGGTGAGGCAACGGGGAATTATTGACTGTCGTAACTGTTTAGCTTAGTAGCGTACTCATTATTTTATAGCTAAAATAGTGGCAAATACATTTGACCAATCAAGAAGATCATAAACAGTACACAACCTGGCTATGTATTTATATCACCAGGCCTTAATGATCACACTCATTTTTTCAATTAATCCGTCAAGGAAACTGGAAAATTCAGTTTTTTTTCTGGAAACGTATTGAATATTTACAGAAAGACCTTAACAGTAAGATGGTAAGTTGGACCAGTTGGTTAGGATCCATCGTGAACTTACTTACAGCGCAACATCAGAAAAAATACAGGACAGAGAAGACATACAGGACGGGAAAGTCGCGGGAGGAGCACGGACTCACTAAGGCCGCTAGTTGATTTTATTTGTGAAAACAAACTACATGTACTACTAGCCGACAAACAAGGGTACTTTACAATTATGAATTCTGAAGCGTAATCACAGAATAGCGAGGCAGCAGTTGAGAAATATTTCAGGCGTGTCAGTGTTAAGGCCACAGAAATAAAACACCGAGCGCTTTCTTTGTTAGAAGGAATGAATCTGCAACATTTGGCAGCTGGCGCAAAGAGGGCGAAAAACCTGGAGCTAGAAGTTTTCTTTACGGTGAAATCGCACAAGAAAGACACGCCTTTCCGGGCCATAGTCTCGGAAAAAGGTAGCTGGCAGTTAGATGTTTCGCGCTTTCTGCAAAAGAACCTAGCATGCCTGAACATTGTTGACCCTGTCCGCATACGGAATTCGGATTCTGTGTGCGAGTACCTCCAAAATAACTCGATGAGCCTACGTAGCGCCTTCAGTGTCGACGTGGAAAATTTATATAATTCCCTTCCGCATTGCCAGGTTATGAAATGCGTAAAAGCCGGCATTGTGTTTGACAACGATGAACAATCTTTCATCGATGGTTGTGGTATTTCTTTAGAATCATTTCTTGAACTTTTGTCATTTTACCTTAAAGTACCTTTGTGTCGTGGTGGGGGGGGGGGGGGATCTTTATGTACAAAAAAGTCTGGTGAATGCATAGGGGTCGAGCGTGGCCCCGATTAT